ACAATACAAGTTGGCACCGGTCGGCATTGTTTTTGGGGTGCGATGGCAAAAGTTCCTCGTGCCGTGGACCCAGCTGCAGTCAATTTGAGTTGACCGCCCAAGGAGCACCCGGGATCATTCAGGACTATCCTGCACTCTGGCTGGAGGCCTGCAGATGGATCAAGTTAGCTGCTAGTTGACTCCTGCTACTCGGCCAACGAATGCTCGGGGCCAATCAATGCGCCGGCCAAAGTATTCAACGAAAAAAGTTGCTGTCGAAACGGAACTGGAAAACCATGAAAATGTCCTTGCCAGCTAAATGCCACTCGCACACACAGACATGCGCACTCACACACACACACACACACACACCCATGCCGAATGCAGTGCGGCGAATTTCTTGGTATAAACTTAATAATGCATCCGGGCAAATAAAGGCAAAAGAACAAAAAGCGAAAGAAACAACGCCAAGTCGGAAAGCCAACATAAGTTTTGGGCTAACTTGTTATTTTTGTAATTGGCACTTTGCCGTTTTATTGAAGCGACGGAGACCCGTGATCAAATCCAGCTTGCATTTATATACTCCACTCAGGTGCTGTGATCGATGAGCCGCCGGTGCCTCCCGGGAGCGCCATCCCTGGTCGTAATCCCTGGCCAACGCTAACCACCTTGGCGATGAGCAGCCCGCAGCTCCGCATTCCATAAGCTGGCTGCGGTCCGCCTGGGCGCACTCGACGTGGTCTAGCTATACTTCGGCGTGGTCAGGTGAGAGCCTCGGTGGCTCCCTGGTCGATCGCCGCAGCGAGAGGCTTATCCACCTTGTGGGCACTCTGGAAAACGCTGACATCCTGGCCCTTATGAGCTGCGCACTCACTGAGGGCTAATTGCTTAGTCCTGAAATATGAATAAGGACAATGTAAAACGGGAATGAGCTGCAGCTGCATCAGAATTGAATTCCCACTGGGGGAAGCGGGGATCAGGACATTTGGGTAGAATCTGCAGAGAACAGAAGGTGCTATGCACTGTTAATCAAGGATACTACGGCTATGCAAACGCCATGTAAGGGTATGCCCACTTCGGTGTGCTGCAGCTAAGTGGCATTCTCACTCGCGCCACTTCAAATTGGGAACTTAGTTGTTATTTGTTCGCTGTCTGACTGAAGAGGCATCGTGGATAAGACGCGGTTCAAGGGCCGCAGGACGCCGGACGCCGGACGAAGGGCTCAGCACGAAGGACTCGGGACTCAGGACTCAGGACTCAGGACTCAGGAGGGCAGAGCAGAAAAGGGACGGGCAATATTCGTGGACGCAGCACTCTGATGGCTCTCACGTCACCACTTCAGCAAATTGCGGCAATAATGCAACAAAGGTTTCTTGGGAAACACATACCAAATTGCATAAGCAAGGCAAGGCCACGGAAACCGGGTGGTCTGGGCCGCTTCTTGGGGGCGGTGCTGGTGGAATGGATGTTTGCTCCTTGGCGACTCGAGGACTGGAGGACTGGCGGACTGGCGGACTGGCGGACTGACGGACTGGAGACGACGTCAGTCGCTTGGCCGCCAAAGCTGCTCAACCTCCTCCCCCTGCATTTCATTTTCAATTTGATTTTTCCTGCCTTTTTGCTTTGGATCTTTGTTTTTCCGCCCCAGAACGAAGAGGAAGAAATTCCCCGCAAGAACTCCGCGCCCTTGTTTACATTTTTGTTGGCTGTTGTGGTTTCCGCTTTTGGGTCCCGCGTGCGTTTCCGTTTCCGTTTTCGTTTTCGTTGCAACATTTTTGTTTGTAATTTACTTTGGAATGCTGGCGCCACAGTCGCCGTCGTCGCCGTCGTCGCCTTGTGCAGTTTTCTTAGAAAAATCTCCAGTCGCAGTAATTGCAGTGCCCGCAGTGCCGCCTGCAGTGCTCCGGACGACGGACTCCAAGCCTGCCACCGCCGACAGGCAAATCAACTGTCACCCAGTTGCTCAGATGCGGGACCACGGGCGGTATGAGCAATTTCGCATTCCTCATACGCCGCGTGGGTTGCAAGGGGAGTGGGCAACTGCAAGGTAGGAAATGCGGGTGCCACTTTAACTTGCGTCCCCAAAACAAACCTAAATTCCTATCCGCTTCACATTGCCATTTCCTGGAAACTCCTAAGGCAGTAAATAGTATCTATACCACTTTTGGTGGTCGATAGTCAATAAATATGCTTTATTCCGTCTGTTTTGATAGCCTGATAAGCAATTGATCTTCCAAAAAAAAAAAAAAAAGAATTAAATCTATTTAGAATATTCATTTCTTGCGTTATTATTAGGAATGTTGAAATAGTTTTAGTTGTAGTCCATAGCCCTTTTTACGTTCGCCAGGCTATCCTACATGGCTATACTACATGTAGGATCCCCCGCCTCGCTCCAAAGTGGCCAATATGAGTACCAAGCCTGCAGCTAATATGGACTCGGGCCATTGGAGCACTTCTAGATGTCCTCAGGCTTGCGTGCGGAGGAGGATGACGACATGACCTCAGTTTCAGCCATTTCCTGGTCCTCACCTTGAGCGGAGTGAGATTCCTGGTCGTTGGTACGGTTAAGCGGCTCGGAGGAAGGGCCACCACTGAAAAGATATGTGGGAATATAATTAGAATGAACATAACTCCTCGTGGGATCTCTTCACCTCTCCTGGGTGCGCTCTAGCTTCCTTCGCTTGGCTGGCGGTTCCCCATCTGGACTTTGCTCCGGCTGGAGCTCTGCTTCCGCAGTTAGATTCCCAGTCAGATCGTCCAGGGCGCTGATAAAACCATCAACTTTATTGCACATACCTCTAAACTAATCATTCGAACTCACCTGCGCAGCAAACTGATGCTGTCCAGGTTTGCTGGATTCCTATCCAGCACGCTTTGCACCTTCCTTAGCAGGATCGAGTGCACTATTTCCATCATCCTGGTCACGCTAGCTTGCAACTGGCTGTTACTGTTCATGGTAGGTGACGGCCAATCCTGCGTCTGGGCGGACTGATACACCAAGTCCGCTGGCGAATCCTCCGTCTGGGTAGACTGATCCACCAAGTTCGATGGCGAACCTGCCTTCTTATTCCGCTGCTTAGGCACCTCCGGTATGAGGAACTTGTGGGGGGAAGAGGAACGGGCTTCCTTGTTTCCAGCTGGGCTTGCCTTAGACTTGTTCTTGTTCGGCATATCGAAGTTCAGTTGAGGTTCAGTTGGGGATTCGCGAATATGGTTTCTCCGGCACGGGTTCTAGATGTGAACTGAGTTTGATTGAGACACGTCAAGAGCAAATGTCACAAATAGGCACTGCCAACTTGATTGAAATGTGTGCTTTTATGAAAGGGCACTTCCAATTTCAAAATCTTTTAAGGAGCCCTGCTCATTCAAAGGGTCAACTTATGGACTCCAACATTTATGTGTTCTGAGGGAATTCGAGAGATGATCACTTGTTTCAGGATCTGGCGCAATGCTCTAAAAATCTCTAAATTCTATCTTTTCTAAAATTCTCTAAAAATGCATTTAAATTTAGAAATTTATTTTTTTTTGTAATATTTCTACCGATATTCCGGAAAATGTTGAAATTTCTCGTTTGCACTTCCACTAGCTGAGTAGCGGGTATCTGATAGTCGGGAAGTCGAGTTCCCATTCTAAAATTCTATAGCATTCCATCTTGTTTCTTTAATTTTGATGTATTTGATATATTTTCATATAGAGCGCATTTCCGTTGACTGTTCGTTTGGCCAAACTTCTCTGGTGGCCAAGAACATATTGCCACCTTAGCGGTCAGCCAACGACCATCAGGCATCAACATCAAGCCACAGCCCTTGGACATCAGAAATGCGGCGTCAGACGTCGGACATCCGAGGTCAAAGATCAGCGTAGTGTTAACGGGAACAATGAGTGGTGAAAAGCAATCACCGAGCGAATCTCGGGCCCAGGGGTAAGGAAAATGTGCGAAAATGTTGCCGTCAATTCTGCACAAAATATGCATAAATACGAGCATAAATAAATGTCTGGATGGGCACTCACACACAAGCAAGCACACGGATTCGAACTCAAAATGCAACTGTGTGGGTTACTGACTCTGCCTGTGTGTGTGTGTGTGTACCGAAATCATCGTTGTCTCGCACATTTCGCTTGAGAATATTACACCCCTTACCTGTGGAGCATATCTATTTTTTTGCTGAGCTCCTCTGCGCACTTTGACTCATGAAAAGTGCCGAATCCTTTGCATAAAAGACTTGGATTGAATTGTAGGTGTGTTGCATAAACAGAGGTTTATTGGATTTTACGTCTTTAAGAATAGCATACACGTAATTTGATGCATATCGCAATTTTCAATTTTAAATCATTTATTATTGTTTGTTTCAACTTTGCTTTTTGTTTGAAGTCTTCTTAGAAATTATGAGACTAACAATAATTAAGGTTAATGTTAATGTGCTAAGGTTTTTATGGTTTATGTTATGGGCATCGATAAATTATCGATAATATTCAATCGAAATCAGCTGAAGGCAATGAGCATGTGATAAAGTTAAACTAACCCAATGCAATTAACTTGAAACTAGCCTGGCAATTATAACTAATCAACCGAAATGTATTATCGAAATGATGCAATCCGAAAATGTACGAGTATATTTACACATTCGGGTAAACGCAGTAAAGAGCTGCGCATACCGTGCATTTTATGAATATGTAAGTACCTTATGGTACTTGCGCTTTCGTCTGCCTTTGTTTGCATTAAAGTTACGCATTTCACCCTCGGCTCCCCGACTTGCCCCGTCATCCACGTAAGTGCACAATAAACGCGGATTTCTCCGCCAATATTTGTCTGCAATCATTTCTGCCTGCTGTCGGCAGTTTTTGGATGTTTGGGTGTTTGGCAGTCTGGCTCCCACAATCCACCTCCGACCGATTTGAGGGGCTGTCTGGGCTCGCTAGTCCTGCTCCGCCACTCCAGAGCCATAAGACCCTCTGCATTCCCTCCATCAGCAGCAGTCGTTCAACAGTCGCACAAGTTCACACATTTGTAGTCCTTCAAGTCCTCAGTTTATATATTTTGCGTAATAAATATACAAATGGCATTGAACTTAATTCCTCGCGGGATCTGTTCAGCTGTCCTGGCTGCGCTCTAGCTTCCTTCGCTTGGCTGGCGGTTCCCCATCTGGATTTTGCTCCGCCTGGAACTCTGCTACCGCAGTCAGATTCCCGGTCAGGGCATCCAGGGCGCTGATTAGACCATCAACTTTATTGCACATACTGCTAAACTAATCATTTGAACTCACCTGCGCAGCAATCTGGTGGTCTCCACGTTTCCTGGATTCGTGTTCGCCAGCATCCTCTGCACCTTCCTTGCCATGATCGAGTTCATTACTCCCATCAGCCTGAACACGCTAGCTCGGAACTGGCTGTAACTGCTCATGACAGGTGGCAGCGAATCCGGCGTCTGGGTGAACTGATCCGCCGAGCTCGATGCAGACTGGGTCCCCATATCGGCCTTCTTACTCCTCGGCTTAGGCACCTCCGGCATGCGGAACTTGTGGGGCGAAGAGGAACGGGCTTCCTTGCTCCCGGCTGGAACTGCCTTGGACTTGTCCTTGTTCGGCATATCGAAGTTCAGTTGGGGATTCTCGAATATGGTTTCTCCGGTACGGGTTCTGATGTGAACTGAGTTTGATTGAGACACGTCAGAGGCAAATGTCAAAAATGATTGAAAATTAAAAGTGTGCTTTCAATTTGGGGGAAAGTAGTGGGGCGACACCAAAAAATGTAAAAATGTTGCCATTTTCTATCGCTCAAGAGTAAATATGCACTGTTGGTGGAAATATGAAGGAAAAGCTTGTGTGCAGTCCCAATTAGCCTCAATTAAAGGATCCTACGGATTAGGTTGAAGTAGCTTTCGCACCGGAAAGCACACAACCCGCATCCTTCAGATTGCCATTCACAATGTGCCCCCGGCAGCACAACTTCCAGTTGAACGCCCCCCTTGCAAGAGGCAAAAGCGATAACTAACTAAATAAATAACATAAATTAACTAAATTTGTAGACAATTTAGTCTGCTAAGTGTAAAAGTTTTTTGTTTTCCCTGTCGCTGTTTTTATTTCAGTTTCTACTCTTTTTGCCATTGTCATTGGGCCGTTTTTGTATTTGTTTTTGGGTGCCGTTGCTGTTTTTGTTACTGCCACTTTGGCTGGCCAAAAAGTGGGGTCCTGCAAAAGTGAAAGGGGCTTGCTGAAGGGGAGGGGCACTAAGTTTGGTAACGGTTTTGTGCATTTTTGCTGCCTTTGGATACGCAAAAAGGGATACGCTTGGATCGGACCCGTTTGGGGCTCCTGTCCGGGCCGCTCCTACGTAGCGCTCAAGGATGCGCCCATCCAGGACACCCAGGCACCCAGGTCACCAAGGACACACACGGCAAAGAAAGGCGGAAGGGGCATGCAATGTTGTGACATCAAATGTTCATGTTAACAACTTTTCCAAAACTCAATGAGCTGTTGTTTGTTGTTGCTGGACGCCCAAGTGTGCGGGCCAGGATACACAAGGACATGCCTGGGATATAGAGCGAGATGGGGCTACAGATACAGCGATAGAGATAGCGATGGAGGAGAAAGCGGGGACCACGCAGCCAGGCAGCCAGGCGCAAACACGAATCGAGTGTTTTGTAGCAAATAATTTTGCACAAAGTTCTCGCCTTAACGATTTGAACACATGTTAACATGAGGAGTAACAACAGTTGCGCAACTCCTGTCTGCGTCCCTGCTGCTCCTGCTCCTGCTGCCCCTTAAGCCTGTGCCCGCTGCTCCTCCTCCGTTGCCAGCACTGGGCCAAGGGCCGGAATGGATAACACTTGGACATGATAATGAATACGCTTGAGGACCGACGTTGATCCAAATGAGGGCGACGCCAGACTCCAGATCCTTGTCTCGCGAACGTAAGTCGCACGGAAGTGCACAGGGACTGCTAGAAAACAGCAAACTGAATTCGAAACCAATTCTTTTATGAGTACTATTTACCTTTGGAAGTGGTTCATGAACTCCACCAGCCTGTGTATACAAATAATTGGCATTTAACTTGCATGGCCGCTGCGACACCACCATTATAGTAACCACAAAAATGGTTTTCGGCGTGGGTTGAGTGGTTTTGGCGGATGTGAGCCGACAGTGGTATAACATGTTTATATGATGTCTAATAAAATGAAGCGCGAAAAATGTAAAATTCGTATTCCGAGGAGCTGCTCCGCCACTACAGATACTCCGACATGGCGAGCTCGCATACGGAATTCACGCCAGCTCCCATCGGGTGGGAGGAAATTGCGTATTTGAAACACGTTTAAGCAGCTGCAGGAGCATAAAAAGGATGAGGGACTGCCAAAGGATACGGCGCTGGGGCGAAGGAATCCTGCACATGCAGCTTTCCTGGCTCCCATCTAATACCCACACCCACAGCCACAGCCATTTTTCCCATCCCATTTCAACCGCTATGCATAAAACTTGCAACGAAGACAAATCGTGACACAAAATATGGCAAATTGTAAGCGAAATTATTTGGCAGGACGGACCAAGTGGTGATTTCGAGGGCTCCGGAGCCGGAGCCGGAGCTGGAGCCGGATTGAATTACGCCCGCGGCCCAGTTGTCCAAACCGTCGGCTCAATCACTGATTGCCACTGCCTTGATTGATCGGCATGGCAATCAAAGCCTCGGGCATGCTGTTGCACTGCATCCCCAGGAGCAGAGGCGCCCCCAAAGGGGCGAACATTGCTGCAGTGAGGCCGCTGGAGCACCAGACACCAGGTTATACACGCCACTACATCACAAGCTCCAAACCGGTGGGTTTGCCTATATATTTGCTGCTATACTGTTGTTCTGGTAACAAAGGGCCAGCGAGGATACATATAGATATTTCTATCGTGAAATCAGAAATCTGTGCGGGAGTATTACTCGAGTCCATCTGCATCTGCCCCTTGGAATTAGTCTTGAGACAGGGAAACCGGAATTGCACTTGACAAGTGAATAAATTCATTCTACGCCCATGATGCACTTGCTCTCTGCCCTGCCATCTCCACCCGAATGTGCCCTTTGCTCGGATCCTCTGACTAGTTGGAATGGGATGGGCTGGCTTAGGCGGCACTTGCAGCCGCCAAGGAGAAATGATGGTAAATAGGTGGTAACACATCCTTAAATATTTACCCGGAGGATTCGGGGAGCTGGAGAGCCGGGGATGTCCTGACCGGGTAAGCCGCTAAGCTAACCTTGTTACACACGCCACATCCTCGACGGATGCTGATGGCGTCGGCGTCGGCGGTCGGGAGAACCATGAACCGATTTGCCATGTGTCAGGTGGATGAAGCGCAGCAGCTCCGGAGCCACGTTAACAAGTTGCCCACCTGGGCACATGTGAAGAGATTTACAACGGGGCGGCAGCTTCGGTATGCTCCTGGGAAGTCCCAGCTGTCTGGCTTCCCAGTGGATGCCAGCTGTCTGTCCCGGTCCAATCCCATCGCCTCCGCTCGCCTGCATCTATTGTCTTTGCAATCGAGCAGGGCTCTGCAAGTGGAAGTGGAATGGGTACGGGGATGGGGATCCAGATCCGGCATGGGGAATGGGAAAAGCGGTGACAAGTGACAGCCAGTTCCGCGGTGCTTGTCCCCTCTTCCCGGGCCGCCCGCTTGGCACTTTGCCGTGCGCTTTTATTATTATAAAATACGCATGAGTTAGTGTGCATATTTCATGGATTTTGTGTATAAAAGGGATAAAAATGCAATCAGTCGCAAAAACCAGCAAAGTGAAACGGACATAGGATGGAGAAGGAGCTGGAGCTGGAACAGTAGTCTGCTGCACATTGCCACCTGCCATCTCACACCTTTCGAAGCGCGTAGTTCAATCCCCACCAGCTGTCACCCGCAAAATCTCCGCAAAATCCCAGCTGAAAACTTCCCTACAATGCGATTTGTCCACACAGAAAGTCCTTGATCCGGGCTAATTTCATAATGGAAATCTATGAGCGAGTGTGAAGTGGCTGAGGATAAAGTGGAATCCGGGGACAGGAGCCACATACTCGTGCAATCATATCGCGTGGAATCTAAACTTTTCCTATTTCCGCACTTCCGAGTCCCCGAAAATGACTCCTACGACGCGTGCACCAGCTACAATTGCGTTTAGAAGTGTGTCTAAAATAAAATAACAATTAATTGAATGCCTTTCATAGGAAATTTAGCAGGTTACCGCATGCTTTCGCATAAATGATTACATGTACATGTGCATATCCGACTGGAACAGTTGATTGCAAGCTGATGAATGCATAATTGAATTACCTCCGAAGGGATCTGGGTCGGAAACCGATCTTGTGGCGAAGAGACCACCACACCAGACGGGCAAACTACTTTTCAGGGTCAGGCGCCAATCCATTGGATTGGCCTTGTGCACCGCAGAGCCTGGGCCAATTACTCAAGGTGATGGATGACCCACCGAATGCTTAAATGAGTTGCCCGACCAAAAACTTTCTTCGCAGCGAAGGAAGTGACGCGGCGACCCCACATGCACACACAAGCACATGCAGGCACACGCAGGTACACGCAGGCACACGCAGGCACACACAGGCACACACGTGCCGTACCGTAACAGGTGACCTCAGCTAGAGCAAATGAGTAAATGTCGGATTAAACAGAACTTGCCTCGTGGAAAGCTGGAATAGAATCGCTTGAAGATGGTCTAGTTCCGGAGCACACACTCGCAGAAATCGGGAGAAGTGCGCGGTTTGAAGGCCACTGGGCCAAGTTCAAAAGGATACCTATGTATATCACAGTTCGTTTATTTAGCGGAAGATGTCTAACCTGCGATGTTCCAAAGAATGTTGTAAACTAATATCCGGTGCTGCTTAGCCTCACTAAGTAAATTCTTTTATCAACTGACGGAAAGTGCCAAAATACGCAGAGAGACCAGATCTCTAATCTTGCAAAATATATTAGACAGGAAAGTGATATTTATTGCATTAGAGGTATTCATGTAAAGTTGCAAAACAATATTAGCTTTCAGCTATGTGCTACATCTTTTTAAAGCAACCAAATAGCGCAGAAGAATTCGCAAAAATCACAATAATCAATAAAATTGACCGCCATTTTCTGCGAGTGTAAGCAACGCAGCCAGGGCCAGTGTGAGTACGAGTGTATGATGCCTGGTTAAGGACACAAAAGTCATGACTGGCATGAGAACGAGCTCAAGTGCCATTGAGGAGGAGTGCTCATATTCCCAGACTTGCCACGCCCCACAGCAATAGCCGCCCACCCGAAGGAGCGGCGCAAGTGCGCGAGTAAATTCAAGAAACAATTTTCAGGAATGACTTAACTTTTGCGTTTATGTGAAAAGTTTCGCAACGTGATGTTATGCGAGCGTCGAAAGGACATGCAATTCACTGCCGGTGTGTGGGTGTGGGTGGCCATCGTTCTGTGTCCACGGGTGAGGATGGAGTGCGTCGAGTGTGTGGAGTGGAGTGCACACCTGCACAGGCACGGAGTCAGAGGAACCGCAGCGAGAGACTCTGCTCCAGGTCCAGACCCATGGTGATGTGGGCAACGTCCGTGGAGTCCAGCAAGTCCTTCTCGGCCAGCACCTGGTTGAGGCGCCAGCGCAAGGCGCGCATTTCGCGCCGCGTCACCGGCAGGCGGGCCACCAGGGCGTGGCTCTGCTCGGCGCTGAGCAGCCCGTCGCCATCCTCGTCGAAGAGGCGCAGCGTGGAGGCCAGCTTCCGGTCGAGCGGCTCGCTGCGCCGGAAGTTGGCCAGGCCGCGCAAAAAGTGCCGGAAGCCGAGCGAGGGATGCAGCATGGTGTCCACCATGTGCTCCGCCAGCGGATGCGCCGCCACCGGCGGCACTCGCAGCAGCTCGCTGCGCAGCACTTGGTCATCGGAGTCTCGATCCAGGGCCTGGTAGTGCCCGTAGAGGTAGTCGATCCGCGCCAGCGAGAAACCCGTATCGTGCTGGATATCCAGCAGCTCCTCGGCGGTCAGGTGGCGGGTTGCCGTCGTTCCCATCGATTCCTTCCGAGAAACTATATATGCAGTCACGTGGCTATACTTCAACCAGCTGCTCGCTTGTGTATGTGTGGAATTGGAACTGACAGGATCGATAGAGAATGGCCATGCTTGATCCGAAATGTGAGTCCTCTAAATATTTTCAAATATTAAATAATGGAAAAATTAATATTATTCATTGTTTTAAGCGTCGGGCAGTTCGAACTTGGAAGCCTTTGAATATTTAAAACGACGGCTGTATTTTCCAATGCCGGAAATATGCATAGCACTGAGCAAAGGCATCAAGTTGACGTGGAAAAGTGGAAAATTTGTGCGTTTATTGATTTTTGCCAGCTTGACAGCCCAAATAAATCACCAGAATACAACGTCGAAAGGGTTATAGTATTAATTAACGTTCTGTTAGACCTTGGCATTCATCGTATGTTGGACAGCTTAGCAGCTAATGGCGTTAAGCCAAGCTACACGAGGCCGTGATAAGGATGCTGGGCGAACGGATGAGGGCTCACATGGAGCTACTCCATGCCGGGCCCGGCGGAATGATAACACATAACTTTGAGCCGGAGCGCGGCGACACCTGACAGCCGCACCTCACACCCGCGTGCCACTTACTGCTGATCCGGATACGGATGTGGATGGGGATGGGGATGGGGATGTGGATGTGGCTGCGGATGTGAATATGGATATGGAGATGGATGTTCTGGACAAAGCCTTCACTCATTGTGGCATGTGTCAAAATTAATTTCGCAGGCAATATTTTGACGGGCTTTCATGCTAATCTAAGAGGTTCCACTTTCCTGCTCAACCCCCAGCACTTGCACACCCCACCCACGGCACCACATGATAGCACTTGCGATACCCTGCACTTCGTATTAAATGGAAACAGTATCATAATATCTAAATACATATTTACTTGCTGCATAAAGCCTGTTTAAGAAGCTATTCGTTTATGTTAACCTAAAGAATACCTAATAGGAACGGTTTCCTTGACTTCTTCACGTCGCAACAATTTTAAAACCCTACCCTGGGTATGTTAGTAATGCCTGGTAATTCGCCACTAAATGATACTCACATGCAAAAGGCAACTTTGCCCTCAGGTTTTTATTTCATTTGCTTGGCATTCGTTTGATTCGGTTTGGGTATCGTTACGTTTCGTTTTGATTTTGATTTTGTTGCTAGCTTGCATTTTTTGGCTTTGTTGTTTCTTTTTTTTGCTTTTGCCAGTCATTGCCCGAATCCGAGCCAGAATGGGACTTTTCATCATCATCCAAGGGACTGGAGAGTGGGTAAGAGCTGGTGGCCACAGGACCCTCCTCCTCCTCTTAGTGCTGCCATCAATGCCACAATATGCAAATCTCATTGCGAGGCATTGAAGAGACCACAAACGGGGCTGATGCCCTGATAGATGATATTAAAACCATTACTCCGATGCCTCCTGCTCTGGATGGCCTCCCCTTCCAGTCCACATCCACATCCGCCTGCCCACTCGCAGTATCCACAAAACTCACAGCAAGACAACAAATTACAAAAATTAAGAGAACATTTTTGCGGATGAAAGGCATTTGGCAGGAGGGGCATGGCCAGGTGGCAGGTGGCAGGTGGCACGGCAGGCGACAAAAGTGGCCAAAGTCCTGCCCATCTGAGCCAGCGTCCTCTCGGGAGGTGTGAAGATCCTGGGCCACGCCCACGCCACCGCCCCGCCCCTTGTGTGTGTGCAAATTAATGAAATTAAATCGTCTTCATTTGATGGCTGTGAAGGAGGAAAGAATTCAGTCGTCGTCTCATGGCAGATATCCTAATGGAACGCAGACTGAGATAAAAGAGGCGTCCTGCGGATGTACTTCAATGTTGGCAACATTGTTCAAAAACCGAAAATAAGGTCGCAAACTGGCAATGACAATAGTACATTTACATACCCCCAATGGCGACAGAAGTGGTGCGAAAATGTTGGTATGGCAGGTTCAAGATTCTGGGAGGATCAAATCAAAACATACACAGTATTTATTAAGAAAAAAATAAATAGATTACTAGACCATTTGGGAAAATATGGACAGCCAAATAACTTTCTTTCTTCCCATGCCCCTCCAATTCTCAAGACATTCCAAGACTTTTGATATAAATATTTAAAAATAAAATAATTTATTATAAATCTGCAAAAGTATAAAGTGAGTGATAATAAAAAATATATAAAGCAATATTTATTTAGAATCAGTTAGCTAAATCTTAAGCTTCTAGCTTAAACAGTACCCGAGATCTCGACGCTCATACGGACAAACAAACGGACAAACGGACGGACACGCCTAGATTCGGCTGGAGTCCTGATTGAGAATATAAAAACTAATGGGGTGGCGAACGCATTCACCTGTTACATACATTTCCACGAGTCTGGCACACCCCTTTTAGGGTACGAGAACCGCATATAACTACCATAACACTGAAGCCGGTCCTATTTATTGGTTTAGTTCTGTATAATGGGGCCTCGTGCGGCGCCTTCTTCCAGGGCATTCCCACTTCGATTCCGGGCGAGTATCGAGTCGACTGGATGGCTGAATTAAATGGGAATGGAATAGGGACGGGGTGGTCATGTTGTGTGAACGCAGATTGCGTTTTCACTTTCATCATTGCATTTAATACGGATGAAATTGTTTGGTGATGGGATCCGGAACGTGATGCGAATAACCAGAATTAATTGCAATCGGAGCGGAGCGGCAGCGACCAAGGATCAAGAGGATTTCGAGGGAGGCAGCAATCCTGCCTTTGTGCCTGCCCCGTGTTTCCCGTTCTCTGCGCTGGGTGCTGCACTGCGAGAAAATTTGTTAAAAAAAAGAATGTTTGTAAGCCAAAACACGCCTGTGTTGTTAAACAAACCCCTTTCCAATTATAGGAGAAGTTATAGGAAAAATGAATATTGAGGAAAGTATTTACCATGTAATTGGTGTTGTTGCAAGCCAAAGATTTTGTTTAAGCTCGAACTGCAATATTAATTAAACTAATACTTGCAGTTAGGTAGGCTCAAATGGCATGCGAACAATCAAATGCCTAAAGATTATGGATTGAATTAAAATTCTTAGATTACGGCACAGTGTGCCAGTTTGCTGGTGTGGGTAGTTACCCACAGTTGCTGCCAGTGGCTTTCTTTTGTCGCTTTCCACAGAAAAGCAGCGCGGCAAAGGACACCACAACAACACAACACCTTTGCCGGCTGCCTTCCTCCAAAGGGGAATTCCCATACCCTCACCCACACCCACACCCACACCCATTTTCATTTCCGGCACCCGTGTGGGAATCACCCGCTGATCTTTGCAAAAGGTGCCCAGCGGCTGGTAGCAAATCCCACATCCCTCGTCCCCATCCTTTACAAATTCGTCCTTGTACACCCAGCGGATCCAATGGACAACAGAAATTAGCAACTAGAATCAACAGACAAACGGCAATTAACGGATGAGAATGAGCATGTGGCGGAAAGCTGGGGGCGCGGGTCGGATTGAGTGGAAATGAATAAGTAAGTGAGTGAACTGTGGATGTGGATGTGGGTGGGTGTGCCAGGTGTTTCAGGTGTAGCAGGTATTTTCAGCTGTTTTTCAGGTGTTTGGGTGGCTCGCATCGCAAATTGTTTGGAACAAACGCCGCTCCGAATAGAAGAGGGAGCAGAACAAAAGAGGTGACCCATAGACCCATGGGCAACTGGACAAAAAAGTAGGGAAGGCCGAGGAGTAAGTACCACCTGGCGATTTGGTATTTAGGGCTTTCCCCCGGCATTGCCAATGCCTTTGCTCCATTGTGGTCGCCGATTCCAAAGCGGGCTTGAAAAAATGCTGCCGAGATACAGCAGGAATCTATATATGTTCGACCAGGACCGGCTGCTTCATTGGCCTTGTTCCGTGTCTCTTTCCACCAAAAGGTGCCAACTGCGGGCCACTTGAGCCTTTAAGTTCGTCGGCTGCGTTGGCGAACAAATTGCAGCATTCCGATTTTGTATATTCGTGGTTTTTGTGTGTATTTCCTGAAACAAGTGATCGCTACTTCTTTAAGTAAGTGTTCTTCCTCAGAACACATAATGTTGGAGTCCATAAGTTGACCCTTGGAATGAGCAGGGCTCCTTAGAAGATTTCGAAATTGGAATTGCCCTTCCATAAAAGCACACATTTCATTTTCAATCAAGTTGGCAGTGCCTATTTCTGACATTTGCTTTTGACGTGTATCAATCAAACTCAGTTCACATCTAGAACCCGTACCGGAGAAACCATATTCGAGAATCCCCAACTGAACTTCGATATGCCGAACAAGAACAAGTCTAAGGCAAGCCCAGCTGAGAACAAGGAAGCCCGTTCCTCTTCCCCCCACAAGTTCCTCATACCGGAGGTGCCTAAGCAGCGGAATAAGAAGGCAGGTTCGCCATCGAACTTGGTGGATCAGTCTACCCAGACGGAGGATTCGCCAGCGGACTTGGTGTATCAGTCCGCCCAGACGCAGGAGTGGCCGTCACCTACCATGAACAGTAACAGCCAGTTGCAAGCTAGCGTGACCAGGATGATGGAAATAGTGCACTCGATCCTGCTAAGGAAGGTGCAAAGCGTGCTGGATAGGAATCCAGCAAACCTGGACAGCATCAGTTTGCTGCGCAGGTGAGTTCGAATGATTAGTTTAGAGGTATGTGCAATAAAGTTGATGGTCTTACCAGCGCCCTGGACGATCTGACTGGGAATCTAACTGCGGAAGCAGAGCTCCAGCCGGAGCAAAGTCCAGATGGGGAACCGCCAGCCAAGCGAAGGAAGCTAGAGCGCACCCAGGACAGGTGAGCAGATCCTACGAGGAATTATGTTCATTCTAATTATATTCCCACATATCTTTTCAGTGGTGGCCCTTCCTCCGAGCCGCTTAACCGTACCAACGACCAGGAATCTCATTCCGCTCAAGGTGAGGACCAGGAAATGGCTGAAACTGAGGTCGTGTCCTATTCCTCCTCCGCACGCAAGCCTGAAGACATCTAGAAGAGCTCCAAGTGGCGAATGCGGTGAAATACTATAGGTATTTATGCTCCATAACATTTAGCCTTCGAAGTATGAAGGACAATTCAATGGTGTTGTTTTTGTACCTAATCTCAACTGTGGCTCATCTTATAAATAAATGAATTCGAGCTTAGAACTTCGGCCTTGGGACATTTCTTATTTTTACAACATCATAACATAACAAAAATTACAAAAAATTATTTTATAAAACTGCGCCAATTTTGAAAATTCTGTTCGCGGCAATCTTGAATATCTTGAATTAATAGTTATATTGGTATTTCAGTTTCACATACCACAATTATAATTAACGTTAAGATATATTGGTAGAGAAATTGAATTAATTATGTATTTTCCCTGAATGAATGCATTTAAGTTTAACCGATAAATTGTCGAAAAACATTTGCAAGCTGTGTTTTTTTAAACATGTTTAAGAATAAGCTAAAAACGGCATAACAGTAAAAACACATCCGAAACTTTTTCATCCATTCAATTTTTTTCGTTCCTTGCAATGCATAAATGATTTCAATTGACATACTCATATTTTTTAAGCCACCATGGATAGTTACTCGATGATTTCTCTTGCAAACGCTCCTCACTTTTAGCAATCAAAAATAAATTTATCTTTAGAGCTATTTAAGGTTTATTAAAAGAAACGTTTCACTTTGGCACTGAATTCATGCACGTGCAACTGGTAAATTAAAGGAAAAAACTCCGTTCACGATGATGTCCCAAACTATTTTCATATATTATAAATTGTTTAATTTTGTTACTTTTAAACTTCAAAAAGGCAGTCTTATTTAGATGAATAATGACCACTTTGGTCCGATAACTTATTCGCGGCGCGAAGGTAGATCCTTCCTTTCTACAGGTTTATGGGAGACGCGTGGCAGGACCTGCTCCTCCCCACCAATTTTGGAATGCGAATCCGAATCCGAATCCGGATCCGGAGACTAGTTGCCGAGCTGCCTTTCCTCTCGCCAAACTAGCTATTCCGCATTCAGCGCGTGCTGCACTTTAATTAAATTTCTTAATTATGTTGGATTAATACAAACAGAGGGCGCTGGCAAGGGCACACACACTCGCACACACGCACACACGCACACACACCAGCACACCAGCTCACAGTCGTACAGTTTCCTATTCTCCTTTTAAGTTTAATCAACATACGCAGAGCCTTGCCCGAGTAATTGAGAAAAGTCGGCGCAAGCGGAGATTCGTTTATGCGTTTCCCCGAATCATGAATATGGATATGTACATGAATTGAAAGCCACAAGCTGGGAATACAGCAAGAATTAGTTTCAAAAGCAGCTGATGCTGAATATAGAAAATTCTTGATATTTAGTACGCAACTTGGAGGACCTTTTTGGATTACTTCTGTAAGAGCTAATATGTAATTGTAGTTAAGGAGTGCACTGCTTATTTCCGCATAAACGACCAGGAGGCAGATCAGTCTGCAAATAAGCTGACTGTCCCCCCAGAGCTGCCACTCGAACCCCCCAGATCCGCCCAATCCTCGCCTGCTCCTCCTGCTCGAGTGCATACACAGTTAGTTACTTTGGCATTTACCTTTGCCTGCTCTCGTCCTCGTCCTCGTCCTTGTCCTTGTCATGGTCTTTGTGCCCGGACCGTCTCATTTGTTGCCATTGGAGACGCCGGGTCCTAGTTTTTGGTCCTGGCTGCGCTCCTGGACGGGATGACAGGCGCGTGTGGGGCCGGGGATTAGTTGCAGCACGTGACTGAAATTCCAAGCGCTGTGGGGAAGTAAGTGCTTACTAAAAATTAAAACACATGTAAAGAAATAATTAAGATATTATGCCACGAACCTCCGATTCAGCTCTACCTCTTCCTCCTGCCCACTTTGCCATCAGCTGTGCACTGTGAGAAAACGTGGGGAAACAGTTGCATTTTGTATTGCTCTCATATCAACTGTGCAATAAATATTGCAATAAATATTCTCCATAATATATAAGGTTGCTCGGCAATCGTGCATTTGAAATCTTACTCGAATTTGCATGCCCATGAATGTTTAATTTCCCATATCGAGTAACCAGTCCAGGCAACCAATTTTGGTCAATTTAGACTCCTTCTATTAGAAACACAACACTTTTCATTCCAGAGGCTGCTTTCTTTTGCACTTTTTATAAACTCAGGGCAGGCTATCCATCTACATAGCTCAATTATCCTCTAACCCCTCGATGTATCACACCATTTTGTGGTTCAAGTGGTTTCAAGGTAACATTAGCTGGTGGAATTCTTTTTGCTGCGATAAGAGCACGTTGTCATTCTGAAGGGAGTGGGAACTGGTGACCTCTCTCGCTTGGTCTTCATTGTTCCAGGAGCTGCTGGCTGGAGCATTGTCCTTCCGGCACGTGGCTCATTTCTTGCGATTTGTTTCGCTACACTTTGTGCCTCATTATAGGCCCAGTCGGCTGCCTAATGTATCATTAAAAGATGTTTTTGTCTCGCTCCCTGGGTCCTTTTGATCGGGCGAGCAGGGCGACACTGGGTGGAGTGGGGTGGAGTGGGCTGGAATAGTTGCCGCCTGTTATAATTTCAGCTTGTTTTATTTACGGCACTTACGCGCACTTGTACTGAACAGGATCTGGAGTCCTGCGAGGCGGCGGAGGCGGGCGGCGGCGGAAGATAAGGTTCGTGCTCAAAACGTTTTTACATTTTATCGACTGAGGGAGGAGCGACGGGGGCCAAGGAGCACTCCAGCACTCCAGCACTCCAACACTCAAACAGTGAAACACTCAAACACACACATGCAGCACACACAGAAGACAGACTGGTGAGAACGCTGGAACAATTAAATTTAATTGCATTCCCAATTTGTATAATTATGCCTTGGTCTAAATACGTTTTTTATTTACTTCACAGCTATGACACAGAAGCGAGCCCAGGATGGAGACAAAGGTGGACTCAAGATGGGCTCGGCTGCTGATGCAGCATCCACACCCAAGTCCTCCCGCCCTCTTCTTCTCCAGCCACATTTTGTGGTGCCCTCTGGCCATTTGAATCTCCGCTGGTTACTCCGGTCCACAGGGCTGCGGATCCAACGTACTTCTCCTTGGACTTGACAATTACTTTCGAGGACTCGGGATATGCTGGACACAGCTGCAAGCTGCGAGTTGGATTGGGGTGAGCTTCTGAAGTGGCATTTCTGCATCTAACAAGGCTATTTTTCGTTGATTAAGTGTCTTGGATTGGGATCAGTAGTTCGTGATTTTTCAAAATGCAGGAATGTTTGCGAGTTTTCAAGGAAAAGTATGGAACGTCATCATTCGAAGAGAATTGAACAATATATTATTGCATACTATGCAATGGACATAATAACTACACTTTCCCAATTGAGTTTTTGCAGTTTAAGAATAAGCAAACACAAAGGCGTATTTTTGGAAATGCCAAGTACTCGAAATTAACTTTTGTAGTGCCCAAAATGTGACGTCTAGAGTCACCATTGAAGCCATCATTCCTGGATTCGATGCAGCCTGCTGGACACCAACTTCTTGTCCTTGTTCTTGGCCGGAGCCACTGTCACATGCCGTCAAAGCTGTCAGCAGCTGCATAATTTCGACTATCGACTGGATCTATCATTCCGAACTCCAAAGGCATGCCACACCCAGTGGGCGGCGGCCAGTGATTCGCCAGAATCGTCGCAAACGAATGGAAGTCTAATCAAAATTGATGGATAGATTGCATTGCCGTTGTCATCCAGCTGCTGACAGCTGTCATCGGTGGTCGGAGATTTTCCAATTTTGACGATTAGCTCGAATGGGCATCGAGATTCGGGGACGGAGTCTAGGGGCTGCATAATTAGTGCCACCCCACCCCACCCCTGCACACCCCACCCATTCCACAATCACGGAGTGTGCCTTTGATCGGGCAATGGAAATGGAAATGGAAATGCCGCTCAGCGATTAATCCAATAAGTTTCTATTACTTTGATTAGGTGTTGATTATGTGTGTCTGTGCCAAAAGTTTTCGCCTGCCGACAGGTGGCGTCCTGGTGCTCGGGGGAACTTTTCAAGCTGCCTGCTAATAAAGTCGTGAAAACACTTGCCCATCCAGTGCTACATAAATGCCGCCGTTTGGCGAGCAACAAAGGCCAAGGAGCAGGAGCAGGAGCAGGAGCAGCAGCCAAAACGGGGGGAAAAAATCCTGAGAAAACAGAACAAAAATGCCAGGAAAATGGCAAACTATGCGAAGGATGCTGTGAGAAAGATTTTTGCAATTTATTTAAGTCACGTGCCATATTCTCTGCCACCTCACCTTGGGCGCTTGCCACTCCTGCAGGTGTGGAGATGTGGAGATGTGGAGGTGTGCAGGTTTGCAGGTCTGCAGGTGGGTGTGTACGAACTTGATATGGAACTCAAAGTGACTGGCCCGCCACTGACTGACTAACTGACAGCCGTAGAGGTCCCTTGCCCCACTCCACTCCACTCCACTCCACTCGACTCCACTTCATCCACACCACTCCAGGACCGAGCCCGAGCCCAAACCAAGACGGAGTCGGGCCAAAGTTAGGCCAGCAGCAAATGCAACATAAATTATATGAAGCAAAGGAGAAGGAACCTGATGCCCGGGGCAGACGAAGACGAAGACGGAGACGGAGATGGCGACGACTAGGTGCCGAGTGGGTTCCCATTCCCGGATGTGGGCCTCCTTTTCGGCACTATCATATGCCTGCCTTTTTGGGGCAACTTACTTTACTTTGTTGGCAGCTCTTAATTAGTGTGCGCAAATTTCGAGAACGTGAATTTTCATAAGTGTGCGATACACGGTTGGGGTCAGGAGCTGCGACTAGGATAGACTGATTGGAACGCAGTGGAGCAATCGGTGGCAACCTAACGATGAGACACTGCACTTCAATTCAATTCAAACTACTTGATTATTAGTTCTTAACTCGAGCTAAGCCTGTAATTCATACTGCATTACCTCTCTGGAATGTAATGTTTTCCGTTCTGAACTTTTATTTTCTG